AACCCAGCATTTGGGTTAAAAAAAATAACCCAGCATTTTTTAGAGTGTAGGATGGTTTGAGGGTGAGTAAATCATGAGGTAATTTTCATTTTTGGGTGAACTATCCCTTTAAGTCTGATCACTTTGAAAAGTACTATAGTTAGCACACCTCAATAGGTTGCACAGTTTATCAATTATCTAAGTAGCATGAATAGTTCAAAATAAGTTCTGTGCTTATGTTCGTATAGGGATTGTAACTTTATGGGTAACAGTGATGCTTAGCCATTATATGATGTAACATTTTGTCAAATGTCTAGGTGCTTTACTGCCACCTGCTGTTAATCCAATGACAAACGTTTGAACACCTGACTAGCTGTGCATCCACCACTAGCAACAAGCCTGGTAAATGCATATATTATATGAAGTTTAGGAGACCAAAGGTTGAAAAATACACTGTTTACTAAACGTTGACAGATCTGCATCTGTCGTTCACAAAGTCATTTGACGTACTATAAAGACAGAATGACATTTTATTCTTGAACACTGTGACAGCACATTCAGCGACCCTCCACAAGGAAAGGGTCATCTTCACTCTCGCTCTCATCCAGGAACTCCTGTCGCAAGGGTGACTTCTCTGAAGCCATTGCTTCCATTTGGAGGACGTCCCTCTTACGACGCAACCAACGAACCCCGTCTCGTATGCGGCTGAACTTGGCAGAGCGAAGGTGCCAGATGAGGAGAGCGCAGATCAAGACGCTCATCAAAGAGGCTAGAGGAGGATGAAGAATTTCAGGACAGGATTTATTAGTTCAGTTCACTCATGAAGGATTTTTCAAGCTTAAAGTGTTTTTTTAAATACCTGTGGCAATTACAAAGACTGCCTGACTTAGGGAAGCCCTGTCCGCTGTAAAGTCGATCACAATGGGGCTGGTCACTTTGTCTGAGGATATATTCACCTAAAACCACAGGAAGGAGAATGAGATAATAGTAATATGCATGTAATTTCACCACCTGCTGGACAGACGCAGTGTTATCAATGCAATAGCCCAATGTTATACACAATGTAATAAAATTATTATTATTTTTTTATTATTAAAATACCATTTAAATGTCTGGGATCCATAAGACTTTATTTTTTTTAAATGTTTTAAAGTGCTCACCCAGGCTGCATTTACTGAAAATACAATAAACCGTAATATTGTTAATAATAATAATTTTATATTTAAATAGTTTAATATATTTTATCTTCAATATATTTTAAACTCATCATCAAATCAACTGACATTTTTTTGTTTCTTTTTTGCTGTTTATCAGCACTTAAACTGCTACATTTTTTCCCTCATTTTCTCTCTTTTTTGTGGAAACCTTATTCTATTTTCAGGATTCTTATTTTTTTAATAGAAGGTTAGAATAGATTTTTGTTTTAATAGAAAAAGAGCATTTATATAAAACAGAAATCTTTAATTATCCTATATAAAAGGTCTTTATGGCCACTTTTGATCTGGGCGAGCAGAATCCCTCTTGTGCCTGCTCTCTACCATCAGGGTTCACACATGGGAGAATCAGTATCCTGCTCCTGTCAATCAGCTGAGGATGAAGAAACAAAAACTAATGACAGATACAGCTGTCTAAATGATAAACGCACTCCAGACCCACTAGATGTTCCAAAAGGTAGGAAGAATAATTATGCTGGGTTCCTTTGGCCTAATTATAAGGCAGCACAGCATGTATCCTTCACAGTGAAAGTAATATCAGAATGCATTTCATGTAAAATACAACCCAGTTAAAAAAATAAATATAATTGGCAAATTTTGATTGTTTATATACTAATTTAATTAAACCCTGTAAGGTTTCTAATTAAAAAAGAAAAATTGTATTTTAATGCAATATGTTGGATGTCCTATGTGTTTTCTATTAGCTTAGCAACATGCTAACATGCCCTGTATTTGACTGCAAAACTTTTGCATTCTAATAAGTTTTACATTCTCTCTCAAATGTTTTGGGTTCCCCAGAAAACCTTTCCATTCTCTTGCAAACAAAGGTACAGAGTAAATAACTGAAGGATTATGGGTTTATTGAGAGGTTTTGTGAAGCTTGCCTTAGTGATGGTGGGACTCCTGCCATAGTTTAGGCAGAGAACAGAAGCAAATTCAAGCAGCAACTCTGGACCTACTGCTGCATTACCATGGACTCCAGCCACAAAACGGATCTTGGGTTCAGCAGCTTGACTGATCTCCAAATTGCCAGCGATCTCAAGAGCCCAGATAGTTCTAATCTCAGTGCTTTGACCCAAACTGACCCCGGGGGGAGATAGAACAACACCAACTGAAGAGTCACAACATAATTTACCTTCCAGCTTCATTCAGTAAACACCCATGGATCTATATGATGTTTGGCATAGATGTTTTGCTTCATGCTGTTTTAGATGGTTAATTACTGGCCCAATCATCTCAAGTCTTAAAGTGCCCTTTTTATGCCATTTTTAAAGGGGTCCTCACAGCGTAGGATACAGCGTCTTCTCGACATGATGTTAACCACACGGAAATTTTACGGTGTTTGTGGGTGGGCAAGTTGGCGACGTAGAACGTGGGCAGACATTATGCAAATGTGTTACTTCGTGACGTAGAGCCGTAACAGAATAAGATTCGAATTCCTGACGACTCGTTCAGACGATTGCGAGCCGGCACTTTTTTTGATAGACAACAACTATTTATCGTGCACTGTTGGCTTCACAACTTTGCAGATAGTTTATGTTCACATACAGCTACATGACACACTGCATGAAAGGTAATCTTCGAAAAGGCATAATAGGGGCACTTTAATAAGATGGTTAGCGGTGCTTGCTAAGAAGCAAAGACACATCTTCAGTATTACATACCTGTACAGCCGTGTGATGCGAGGAAAGTTTAAGGTCAATCCACGCAGGAACTCAGAACGTTCCCTGTAGGTTCGGTACCGCAAGGTCTGAGCAGGGAGAAGGCTGCGGACCAACTGATCCAACTCACCAGGGGCTAAAAGCCACTCCACCAGTTTCTCAAAGTCCTTCTGTTCTCCTTCCTCAACAGACAATGTACCTCTAGTCAGCTTGAAGTCCACCTGCTCCACCCGAGTCTCCAACACCCGGACAGATGCTGATATTGGAGTATAACTGTGGATAGATCACAGAAAACATAATGGCTGACCCATTTTATAACTGGAATTCTGTTCATTTGCCCATTTCTCACCCTGGAGCAGAAGCAGTGATATGGTAAGAACCAGGAGCCAGAGGTCTCCAGTATTGGCCCGTGCTGCTGGTGTGCACATGATGGCTTGAGCCTTCCACCACGACTGTGGCATTAGCAATGCCTTTGCCAGAATGACCATCAGTCACCATACCCCTCACAAACAAATGAACCTGACATATGGGACATCACACAAACCATGCATAGGTTTAAATGGAATAGATCACCCAAGAAAATGACCAATGTGTTGATCAGGATCAAGAACGAATCACCTGTTGTATAAAGTGCAAGAGCGCTCCGTAATTCTTCTCCCAGTATTCCGAGAGCAACTCCTCTGGTGGAAGCAGTTCACAGCTCAGACCAATGTTAACGGCTAAAGTGTCTGTGCTGTGATATGCCCAAGTCAGCATATCAATTCCTACCATTATGCAAAAGCCAAAAACATGTTGATTTCCATGTGAAACAGGAATATGTACTTATGAATAAACAATTAAGACAAAAAACTATATAATAAAATAATAAAAAAGTACAATATCCTTCGAAAATGTAGGGCCAGTAAGATTTTTTAAATAAATTAATTCTTTCATGCAGCTAAGACACATTAAAAGGATCAAAAGTGACAGTAAAGAGACTTATAATGTTACAAATAAATGCCGTCCTTTTGAACTTTCCATTCAAAGAATCCTGAAAAAGCCTATCATGGCTTCCACAGCACAACCGTTTTTAACATTGATAACAACAACAATAATAATAAAAAGTTTCTTAAGCAAAATCAACATATTTGAATAATTTCTGAAGGACCATGTGATTGAAGACTGGCGTAATGGCTGCTGAAAATTCAGCTTTGCCATCACAGGTATAAATGACACTTATAAATATAATCAAATGGAAAATAGTTATTTAAATTGTAATGTCACAATATTACTGTTTTACTGTATTTTTGAACAAATAAATGCAGCCTTGGTCAGCACAAGAGATAACATATACTAAATTCCTTCAATAACAAATACTACTACTCTTACCGACCCCAAATAATTTTCATTTCTCTGACCTGTGACTACTGGACGATAGTGCTTAATGCCTTTTTTCTCTCTGGTTCTTGGCACATCACAGGCCTGAGGCTCTTGAAAAGCCTGAGATTGCTGGAATGAAATGACAACAGTATTGGACAATTTAAGAAAGGCTTGTGATACAAGCACTGATATTCAACACGTTTTCTGCTGATGATTTAGTTAAATAAAATGTCACAAATGTCACATTAACATTATATAATTCAATAGCATATACAATATGCATACCACATAATAGGCTTTTGCAACCGATTTAAACATGTCCTCATCAACAGAGTCAAGGGAACTGGGGTAGACGACTCCCCTAAACCCTAGAGAAAACAGTAGCAGTACAGTTTTATAAAAAAAAAAAAACGAATTAACATTTTAAAGAGAAAACCAAGCCACTTTCTGTACCTCCACGTATACTTGCAGACAGTACGAAGAAGTGATCCTTGATCCAGTTTATCACTGCTTGAATTTCTGCTTCAACGGCATTTCCCGTTCCTGACTGTTTAGGGAAATTCGCATTCAGGTCAACACGGTGACTGTTACCGTGTCCAATAATACTTAGGTCTCCCGAAACCCGTTCGTTGTGAGCTACGAGAAGAAAATGAGGGTAAATACAGAAGACAACAATGAAACAGCCTGCCAATATGTTTGCTCATACCTTTTAGTGCTAATTCATACCCGTCTGGGTTCATGGAAGGCATGATGTGAATTCTTGTACTATTGACCAGACGTGTGACCAATGGATCTTTGCCATAATTGCGGCACAAGTACTCAACCAGGTTTAGGAGAATCTCACGTCCGATAAACTCATTTCCATGCAGGTTACCCAAAAACATGACCTCTGGTTTGCCTGGATGAAGTAAAGAGATGATCACATAGAGGACCAGTTGAGAAATATTTTTTATATCGTATATGTATGTGATTGTACGCAGTCGCACCTTGCTGATCAACACCAGGATTGGTGGATATCTCCATTACATAAAGATTCCTGCCCTGCACTGATCGTCCAGCAGAGTTCAGGTAAGTGATGGAAGGATGGACAGCACTAAGCAGCTGCAACAACATCTCCATTTCATCATAACTATGATATCGGAAATCCAAAGTATGGATTGGAGACATTGAGGTGGGAGGCCCAGGTGTGTTCAGACCTTCATTGATTACCACAGCTTGTTCAGAGGGATCTAGCATTAACATCTCCTCTACAGGTTCCTCGAGAGTGAAGTTTAACAGCGTGGCTTTGCCTTCAATCACTGGCACATTCTTGACCGTATTTGAAAGGTATCTGAAGGAAACATGAGTAAATTCCATTAAACTGGACCAATTCCATTTCATAATTCTTCTTTTATGCATCTACATATAATCACCCAGGTGAGCTAGCAGTGATGTCATATCTTCCAGGCAGCAGCAGACGATAATAATCACCAAACATCCAGGTTGTGATGTTGTGATCAGTTCCAGAAACGGAGATTGTTGCATCTGGGAGACCAAAGCCTGATCTGGTCATTACGAAACCTCTCACTCCAATATGAGCCTATAAACAGAAGTGAAATAAGGTTTGTTAGACAGTTCATGGGACTACACAAAACATTCAAATCAACTCACTTGGTGTATGTAGGCAAGAAGGGCCTCCTTGTTATTGGTCCATTCTGTGAAAAGCTGAGAAGCTGGTGGATACTTGCAGCAGCTCAACCCAAAAGTGACTTCAAAACAGTTCCCTTTGAAGTAGTTGTAATCCTGCATTCCCCCTGTGCACAGACAGGACACCAAATAATTGAAGCAAAGTTCAATGGAGTTCCACTTGGGCACAAGGCCTGATTTTAATGTCAAACTGTGATACCATCTCCCAAGTTTTTGTCTGGAACGTCAGGACAGCCAGGATTGTCCATCCTCATAATGGGATGGTTCTCAGTGTAGGTTTGTGCTAAATGGCGAAACACCGCATCATCTGCAGTCAGCCCTGAGGTTGCATAAGAACTGCCGTCATCAAAGGGGTAGGTGGCCATCACTGAGCCCCCATGTAGACTCCCAGACAAGTCAAACCTTGAAAAGACGACACAGAGGAAGCAAGCATGGTAGAAAACACTACTTGTGAAAATTTCAGATCAGAAGCAAGAGAACATTACACCACTGAATAATTGGTTTCACCACTGAATAATCAGATTCATGTTTTCCAGGCTAGAATAAAATTTTACGCCAATTTCTCTATTAAAAAAATAATAATAAATTAATTGATTCAGAAACCAAATTTGAAATAATTTATTCAAATTAATTTTGATATTTTGTAGTGCATACAATGTTTGTAGTGTATACGGTATTGTTTAGTACTATATACTAAAATACTTAGTATTATATCTTTTATTAACATTCTGAATGAGTTTTATTCGTTTTTATTTTTAAATTTTCAGTTTTCATTTTTTTTTTAGTTTAATTTTGTAGTAATTTAGTGTGTGTTTTTGTCGTTTTCATTTATTACTAGTATTAAATATTTATTATATTTATAATATTTAGTACCAAGTACAGCTCTGTTACGCTCACATCGCGGCCATACTGAGTCAACAGGTACTCAATCAGATACACTAACAACTGCCTCGATAAAGCCTCGTCCCCGTGGATGTTGCCCACATACTTGAACCTCGGTTTGCCCGGTACGTCCGTAGTCGGATTCGTTGTTATTCTCATGACCCAAAGCTCCCTTCCCTCGACAGACTGTCCGATGCTCGAGAGGCTGCAAATATGTGCGTACTTTTGAGAAAAACGCTGAAGACGATCGGTCATGTCAGCGTAGTTGTAATATCCTTTGTACGTTTCTTCATGATCTTTGTTGGTGCTTCTCAAACCGAGTATTTGGTGCGGAACTATTAAAATATGCGGCAAAATGAGCCACAAAGTATGCATTATGTGATTATAGTAGCTTAGTAGTGATTTTTTTTATTTATTTTTTTTATCTTTTGTTAGTTGTTTTATCGTTAGTTGGCTTTTTGTTGAGCCATCACAAATTGTTGATCACTGGCCTGTCAATGTGCAGGTTAAACGCATTGAATCAAAATTAGGGACACTAATAGATTGCACTTGGCATAATCAGTATAAAATTGGTTTGCACAGGGTCAAACTAAAATCTGGATTAAACCACTGCCATTTGTTAAGGGGTGGTTGTCAATTTTCCGTATTTTTATTTATTTTTTGACCATCAAGATTAAATTAAATGTGTATACTTTATGTAAAATGTATTAATGTCACAATTTTTTTAAAATATATACACACACACACACACACACACACACACACACATTTACATTTAGAATGTTTTCACATTACCACCTGTTCATTTCATTTACAGTCATTTTATATGTTGCTAAAGTAGCATCTTAAAGGTGATTTAGTGGATTATATTTGGATGACGTCACTAAATCAATGATAAACTGACTTTAACTGGAAAACTGAGTGTTTACTATTGTCCTCTTGCATTATCAACACACTATTTTCCTGTTTAATACTATAAAGCTGCTTTGACACAATCTGTATTGTATAAAGTGCTATATAAATAAAGGTGACTTGACTTGACTTACGTTTGACATATAATTAAATTAGAGGCCCATCTGTTGCCATGTGTGAGTACAAAAGACTGTCCTTGTTATGTTTTAATGTAAATTCTGAGACATATCTTTTCATTTCAAATTTTAATGTTAGACAATTCATTACACCTTTTCTGAAAATGACTGATGTGAGAGTTCAGTGTTTGTTTTAATGTTCATTTAAGGTCAGGAAAGATCCACACGCCACAGTCAGCTGATATCAATTATTCTGTTTTTTTGTTTGTTTCTTTAGATTTTATGCTCATGTACTTTATTCATCAAATATCATACAGAAGTTGACCATGGAAACTGCAACGGCTATGATCATGATGATCAAGTCATGACGAAAGAAGAGCAACGCACCACGTCCGTTCTGCTGTCATCATACAGGACTTTTTCTTCTCGTCGTTCCTGCCGTCAATAGTTTGTCTTTCTTTCCTCGTGTAGTGGGTAAAAAAACGTGCTGTGGACTTGTTACATTAGTGTAGCACCAGTATACCAGCCTGCTGTCCGGGTCAACAAACCATCTTGCAAGGCTGGGAACGGAGGGATGGCGGAAGTGGAAGTTTGAAGGGCTCAGAAGGAGGAAGAAGGGAGGGAAGGACACGGCTGGTTCCTCTCAATGCTGGATCCTACAGATAGACTGGATCTGAGGGGTCTGAGCGTGGCAGCCATACTCCCTGTAGTGCCTGTGCTCGCCTCCGTGGCAGTCGCACTCCATAATGTACTGGTAACCACGGTAACCGGGATACTGGTAGCATACCCAGCTAGAGCAACAGGGATAGAGAGGCGGCATGTTACCATGGAGACCAAGTGAAGCTTTTGATTTCTCAAACGTTGACGAATGCAGTGATGAATACACTGACGCCAGGCTTTTTCAGATACAGATCAAAAGCAGCATAAGAGAAGAAACCAGAAAACCAGCCTCCGTAATGATGTGATTAAAATCCATTCGGGCAATCGTACTTACGCGCCACTCATGACTTGGATGGAGCCGACCTCGTTGTTGCACCATCCCATAGCCTGCAGGGAGGGGTAGTCATTGCACACCTCCCACTGCCTTCCAGTCATGTTCTCACACTCGAAAAGCATCATACGGCAATCACTGTGTGTCTGTTTCAGAATGAAGAAAGAAAGACATACAACTTGTTGAATGCCCTGTTGAGTGAAAATCTGATTCGAAGAACTGGTTCCCTTTAAGTTCATGGCTTGCAATTTGAATTAAACTGGCCCCATCTCACAGGATGTTGAATTGGAACAAACGAAACAGCAAATGGAAATTGAATTTACTGCAGTGTAACACAACTTATTTTTTAATTAGTCTAGCACAACAAACTGGACAAGATTTTGGATTCTAGGAAATGTTCTTCCACCATGACCCATAAAATGACCAAGTTAAAATAATTACATCTATAATTAAATAATTTAAATGATTAAATCTAAATCTATCTTATATCATATATCATATAAAAAAAATTATAAATTACATTTTAAATAAATATTTTAGACCAATATTTCTAATGTTTTGACTATACCCTTTGTATGATAACTTATGTAAATGATATACATAATTAATTAAATAAATAAATAAATTAGATTTATATTTGATTATTTATTGCTTTGTAACAAATATTTTAGACTTATTTTTCTAATATTTCTCATTATGCCCCTTTGTGTATGATAGCATACATATATAAATTATGTAAATAAATAAATAAAGGTAGCTTTTCAGACATTGATTATTAATATTTTATATTAATTAATATTTTATTATTTATTATTCTAATATTTCTTATTATACCCCTGGTGTATGAAACGTGTGTAAGTAAAAAAAGTAAGTATGTAAATAAATAAATAAGTAAACATAGCTTTTCAAACGTTGATTTTTAGTATATTAACATTTGTACGTTATTATGATTTACTTATCTTTTTTTTTTAACAATTTAGGCTTATATTTCTAATATTTCTATTAATTCTATTTCAATTATGCTTTGTGCAATTTATTTGCTAGTTCAATTCAAATTCACTTTATTCTCAATTCAATTTAATGCCATGTATCTACAACTATGTCAAAAAATGTAAATGTGTTGAGAAATAGTGATGGTCAGAGCGTCTGCTGGTGGGTGTATTGTGTGTCCCTGCTGCAGATGGTCTCACTCACAGCAGAATAGATGGGGCGGAAGGACATCATCCTCTCAATGCGATAGGCATTGTTGCCACTCCAGGCCTCCCAGCAAGGGTAATCTCCCTTCTCCAGGATGAACTGCTGGCCATTGAAGGTAGAGTGCTCAAAACCTACCCAGCTAGAGTCAGAAGAAACGACTAGGAGACAGGGCTGGAAAGAGGAAAAGAGATTTACTCTAGTTAACTGAAGATGCTTGCTTTTACTCACACGCCACACTCCACCTTCAGGGAGCGGACAGTCTCCATTCCGTACTCCATGATGTTCTGGCAGCAAGCGGTGAATTCACAACGCCTGCCCTGGAAATGCTCCTGATCATAAACGGTAATCTGAAAAAGAAAGAAATGTGTAAATACACACAAATATCTTTAGTTCAACACGTTGTTAGTGATGATTTAATTAGATACCCATTTAGATTGTTCCAAATTGCATTAAAAATGGTTTTAAATGATTTAAAGGGTTAGTTCACCCAAAAAAATTAAAATTCTGTCATTAATTACTCACCCTCGTGTTGTTCGAAACCTGTAAGACCTTTGTTCATCTTCGGAACATAATTTAAGATATGTTCTGAAGATGAACGAAGGTCTTACGGGTTTCGAACAACACGAGGGTGAGTAATTAATGACAGAATTTTCATTTTTGGGTGAACTAACCCTTTAAAATTAATTTATGTTGAAAAAAAACAACAACTTTAAAATAAATTCATACGTCAACAGTCAAAGTTAGGAATAATTAAGATTTTTTAAATGTTTTTTTTTTTTTGGAAGAACTGTCTTATGCTCACCAAGGCTGCATTTATTTGATCAAAAATACAGTAAAATAGTAATATTGTGAAATATTATTACCATTTGAAAAACTGTTTTCTATCTGAATATATTTCAGAATATAATTTATTCCTGTGATGACAAAGCTGAATTTTCAGTAGCTATTACTCCAGTCTTTAGTGTCACATGATCCTTCAGAAATCATTCTAATATGCTGATTTGATGCTCAATTATTATTGCCACTCAAATATTAACAATAATAATAATACAAATATTTTTCTTCTTAATATTTTTGTGGAAACTGAGATACATTGTTTGATGAACAGAAAAACTGCATCCTTGCCGAATAAAAATATTATTTTATCTTTTTTGGGGGGATTAAATAAATGCAGCCTTGGTGGGCATAAATGATAAAAAATTTAATTAAATGATCTATTTAAAATAAAATAATACACATTATTTTAAAATCTCTTCACCTTCCATGGTCCCATGGGCATTGACATAAGGTTTGTCAGAGCCATTGTTTCAGATATCTCAGCGCTGACTGACCTCCATGCAAGGAATCATGTCAGAAGAGTTTGCACCACAAACATTGTTTAACATCTATACATTTCTATACATGATGTCTCCTGCTCAGGCATCTGTGGGGCTATTTATACAGACGCAGCTTCATTGGGGCTCCCTGACTCACAGACCCCGGCTGCTGTCAGCATTTTGCTTTGGATGCCTTTTGTTTCTGACCTGAGCTGTAGGCCTTTCTTTCCTCCGCATACTCTTTACAATGAAGTGATCTCCACCAATGAGCGGCCATGGAGATGCATGATTTTAGGTCATATTTATGTGGATTACATAAAAGGCCATTTACTATAACTCGAGATTTTCATTTCAGGCCTTTCGAATTTGAACTGAAGACATCTTTGCGACAATATTTTGAATTTCACAGACTCTTTACGGAGATAGTTACATTTAAAACAGCTTTGCAATATATTTCCTTTCTATATGTGGTTTTCTCAACATACAAGGTTTGAATGTGTTGATGCCTGCGATGAAATGACAATAATCTAAACAATAATGCATATTTACTGTATATTTCCAGTTTTTAGTCTCCAGTTCATCTGAGTGCAAACTCCAAGCCTCTGCTTACATGTTTTCTGGGGTTTGGTCAGATTACGGAGGCGATGTCTGATTAATGCAGTGATGCAGTTTCTGGCCCATAAATGGAAAAACATGGCAATGCAGATGCTAATATGAATCAGTGTGCTTTCCAAAGCGATGAAGCGGATACTGCTTGACTTTAAATACAGACAAATATAACATTACAGCACTTAAAATGTCTTAAAACTACTGTGTTCCAATGCAACTTATATTAAATTCAGGAACAATTCATGGGTTTTTAGAAAAACTATGTACTAGTAGACATTTACATTGAAAGATGCATGTATGCTGGGAAAAAAATGGTGTAGGATTTACTTTGAAACAATTTTTACTCAATTTCTGCTTAATTTCACAAATAATTACAAAGGAATGGCATTGAATTCATGCACAATTTTGAAGCTGAAAGACTAAAATTGAGTTTTCTTGTAAAACGTATCTTTTTTTTATTTCAAAAATCATTTTTAACAGTGTATAGACCTGAACATTTCAGTCCGTGTGATTTTGAAATGAACTGAACAGCTTTAGCATACATTGTGAAATGACTTCTGATGCTCAGCTCACAACCTCGACCCAGGTCTCTTTGCAAAACAATGGCCGTACACAGACTGCAGTCAGCACATTGTTGTCCAGGGTGGAGGTGTGTGTGTCGAATGTGTATGACGTGTGTATCTGTTAAGCTCTGTTTGAGTGTGTGTGTGTGTGTCAAATGTAGTTCTTGTGTGTAAAAATGTCTGTATGTGCATGTGTGTGTGTGTGTGGATTTCTGCTGATGAGAGCAGCCACACCGTGATGACAAAGAGACAAGCCAGCTCAGCAGGCCTGTGAGATGAAATGAGTGTGTCCTCTTCTACAAACATACACACTCGCAGTCATGCTATTAATAAACTCACCTCTGTAGTATGAACATTACTGTAATATAAACGTGTTGCTGATGACATTTATTTATGCTTTTGTTCTGTCTTTTAAGCTATAAAGGTTTGATTCTATCTTAGTTTTGTATCATAATGTAAAAAAATAGGCTATTATGCCAATAAGCACAACTATATTGGTTAAAAGGGAGTTCTTTGAATTATTCGAAGATGGCAGGCACAAAATTTAATTAGAGAGCATTATTATATAATTTGGTGAAAGCTTTTAAAGCAAACCAAAACCATGAAATACAAGCTCTTATAATTGTATTATTTGCTGAATTGGCTACTTGAGTTATTTTTTTCTTCATAGTGTTTAGAAATCAGTGTCTCATTCTGTTGTAAATGAATGAAATGTTATATCAACGGTTAGGTCGTGTGGCGTCCTCTTGTGGATTGTCATAACTTCAATGCTACACTAAATTCAGTAAAGGTTGTTTATTGGCATATATGGTTCCATCGAGAACTTTTTATTGTACAAAAAGTACTTTATGGTGGCAAAAGATTCTTTAAATTATTATAAAGTTTTCTTTTTCTTAAAAGAAAAAGGGGCTATTTTAAAAACACACATTTCATTACACCAAATACACAAAATAATGTTCTTTTTAGCAGCATCATATGACCCCTTTAAAAGGTTATTTGGGAAACATTTATGGAAACTTTATTTTTAAGAGTGTTGAATCAAGTTTTTTGACACATGAATTGTGCCAAAGCAGACTTAAAAGAAATTAAAATTAGATTTAAAGTAAAAAAACGTAAAAAAAAAACTTGAATACTGCTATATAAGCTATATACGTTTTCTTTTCTTTTAAATAATAAATAATATTGGCGTTACAACGTCTCGTATTTGCTGGGGTTTGTGCTTTATTTATTAGATTTGTTTTGAGTTTGAATTAATGCACGTTCACACAATTGACGAATCAACTTGGATCATACCACACAACAAACGGGGGAGAATTCGAAACAGATATCCGGCGCACACTACATGCTAGAATGACCAATTCAATCCAAGCTCGACGACTGATTTTATCTAAAACTATTTCCTTAGAAATACAACGCGCTGCACTTAAAGCTGCCTTTTTTTATCAGCCAAACAGTATCATCTGTTGTCGCCGTGCGCCACTGAACGGCACGCGACCCCCTCCGGCGTGCAGTGGTACGTCCCTCAGCTGGAGCGCCAGAGAGATTCAGATCAAGCGGAGAACAGGAGGATTTAAATACCTCTAAGCGGGCGACCTGCTCAGCCCTTCGGGTGTGGGAGGGTGACTGTTTTGTGTCTTTGCTAGACCGGGGGAGCAGGGGGGTGGAGGAGGAGGAACGGATAATGAGCTATTCTTGTACCAGCACAGGCAACAGCCAGGACCCATCGAGCTCTAAGAAGTCCGGCGGCGTTAATCCCGGTAGTTGCAGCAGCGGAGACACCGGCAACGGCAATAACCGCCACAGCATCCGCGGCAGCAAAGCGAACTCGAACCCTGATTTATCCGAGGCCATGAAAGTCAAGAAGGGCTGCAACACGACAGACGTCGGGGTCCCCGTCACCACAGAGGCGGAACTGCTTGCTAACAAAACGATCACCCCGGAGGATGTGCTGGGATTGCAGAAGATCACTGAAAGTAAGTGACCGAGTGGATCGAACACACTCGGAACATTTCGCCAAACATCGTACATTGTCGCAAAGCTATTGAATAGGTTGCGCTTTGTATCAACACAGGCTTCAGTAGACCGAGTAATCACAGATCCTCTCGTTTATGAACACTTCACTATGCTATATACGCCATATTGTAGCATTTCTAGATCACCGGATTTCTTTAGTAAGAAAGACTGAAAAATAACTTGCTTGAGGAGCAGACTGAGCCAAACATTGGGTTTTATACAGACCATCATCAACATTTCGACCTATTGGTGTGCAAATGTTACATTACAGTGCATCAATGTAGCTCACTCCTCCGAGGTCTTTTATTAGGGTTATATGACCTCTTACTGCTAATACTATTGAAATTGAACTTATCAGCTATTGAATGACTTTGGAAATGGGAAGAAATAAATGGCATGGACAGTGTCATTTTCCAAGGGTCAGCTATAATTAACGTTCTTCAGCCTTGCAGTCCTAAGTATGGTTAGGTAACAGGTGGCCAATAAGCCCTCCATTACTGTTTTTAAAGGCCCGTGCAATGGCTTATACAACATCCACGTCGCATGAACCTTATGAAGAGGCTGCATGTAATACTACGCTATTAGAAATGCCTCCTAAAAAGTTTGCATTCTGATTATTAATTAATTTAATTAATTAATTAATTAATATAAATATCTGAGCAGTTCCAACCAGTTTGCGAATTATATCATATATATATACCTAGGTGTGCGTGGCCCTTCTTCCTGCATCTATCATTTGAAACCGCAGTCATTATTTTTTTGTGGTCATAGTTATGATGTATAGATCTACAATAAAATTATAAGTACAGTTTTGTCATTTTCTCACTGATGGTGAGCAGAAAACCCTTGAGGTCACATGGTTAACTTGTCCATTAGTGACTTTTGTGCAACTTTGCACACACTGAATAACTTGTAATGTGACTTCAATGGTTACTGAAACCAAATTTGAAAACACTCCTGAAATGTGTGTGTGTGTATATAAATGATCAGAATCAGAATGAGCTTTATTGCCAGGTATGTTTTCACATACAAGGAATTTGTTTTCATGACAGAAGCTTCCGCAGTGCAACATAATGACAGCGAAAGAACAAAAACACAGATGATCAAAGAAGAATAAAAAAATAGAACAAGTAAATAAGGAATAACAATATATAAATTGACAATTGTATGTGCAGGTGTATTACAATAATAAGATATTGTATAAATTATGTAAAGTATATGAAAAATATTTTCACTTCCTAGAATTATATCCTTCTCATGGCAGCCATCTTTCTCTGTTTACAGTCAATACGTAAGCGCATCATCCTTGTATCAGGGATATATCGCCCTCCGAAGGGCACTTCGGAGTGAAAAAAATGATCAGAATCAGAATGAGCTTTATTGCCAGGTATGTTTTCACATACAAGGAATTTGTTTTCATGACAGAAGCTTCCGCAGTGCAACATAATGACAGCGAAAGAACAAAAACACAGATGATCAAAGAAGAATAAAAAAATAGAACAAGTAAATAAGGAATAACAATATATAAATTGACAATTGTATGTGCAGGTGTATTACAATAATAAGATATTGTATAAATTATGTAAAGTATATGAAAAATATTTTCACTTCCTAGAATTATATCCTTCTCATGGCAGCCATCTTTCTCTGTTTACAGTCAATACGTAAGCGCATCATCCTTGTATCATTTCATTTTTGTATCATGTATAAAAGACGGTTGACTCTTACCTTTTATAAAAAATATCTCTTTGGATTTGAGACTTTAGTCTTTGCAACTTTACAGATCTTCTTTATGCACCAAGAGCTTGTAACACTCCAAAGAGAAAGGAAAAATTTAAATCGCATCATATGACCCCTTTAAATAATTTAGGAAAGGAGTGAAAGTTTAAAAAGAAAGTTTAGGAAAAATGTGTATATCAAGTGTTTTAATACAAGTTATGTTCAAATGAAGTATGAACACCAGGCATGATAAATTGTATATTTGGCTACACATTTTTTATGTTTCAAAGAAATTAATAAAAAATTTTTAAAGTACAAGCTATTGAAATTACAATAATTATGTCATCCCATAACAGCTATTCATCATTTATAAACATTATTATTAATTATAATTACTCATGACAACAATAATACAGATTCATGAACAAAAAATCATTTATGAACTTGCTTGAAAATGATGCTTTTATTTGTTTTAATTAATTCGAGACTAGCAAGACTGGCCACCCTGGTAACTATATGTAAATGAGCAGGGTAGTGGGCCTTGTTTCTGTCAGGTGGTGAGTTTTTAATGTGCAGATCATGTTTGTTTCCAGCCCACTCAACCAGCATGTTTATTTGCTCAAAGCAGTTACATAATTTCACCTGTTTGCTTCATAAGCTTGTCCTGTTGGGCCTCTCTGAACATCTGAAAAATGCTGCCCACTCAAAGCAACCAACCTGTGCTTTGCTCACAGTACACAAGACATACTTTTCTTTCGATATTTTGCTCTAACTCATCAAGTGATTCTAACCTCAGCCGTGATTACTGGAATTTTAATGCACCATAACCATATCCTATACTCTTTTTGATCTGTCAACATGCAAAATTGTTCCACTGTTCTACTTTCATTGATATGCACTCATTAAAATACTAAAAATAATAAATTTGTCTTTGCTATTTTAACTTGGCCCGTTGATATAATCTGTTTATTAATCTAATCTATTGCGGAGCCATTAACATGTCATATCTTCTTGAGAGCAATTGACAGAGCCTTGGAAGAAATATGTGTTGGCACCTGATTATTCAGAGTGACCAATATTAGAACCTTTAGATAATACACTGCTTGCTCAGTAATTGTTGAGGCATATGTTGAGATTTTTACCATGGCAACTGTTTCTGCAGGTTGAAGGTGGGGCAGGAGCCCCTCATTATCGCCTCATTAAGAGCAAGTTTCCTGGAGACCTGAAGCTTTAGAGAAGAAATATCCCATTCATGCAGTTTTATGTATTTTATGCAGTTTCATTCATGCAGTTTTATGTAGAAATGGGCATAGTTTTTATAAACGTAATATATAAAATATATTTCTTTGCTTGTATGAAGTTGTAATTTTTATAATATAGGCTTGATCGCAAAACATTGTTCTGAGGTTTAAACTTTTGAGTCCTGAATCCCTGGCCTTCTAGCCATTTGCATTTAATTGCATTTATTTTTGCTTTTGTCTAGGGTTGGAATTGTGTCATATCCTAATTGCCTTGTATCAACATTTCCAGTCACTGCAGAGGATTTGCCACATGAAATTAGTTATTATACAGTCCGCACCAGGAAGGGAAGTACACGAAGGTCACAGGATGTTAGATGAGCTTATTGTTTTTTTTAATCATTGTAAATGTTATTCCTGAGCATGACTATAAGTCCGTATCAGGCCAGAATTTCATCAAAGTAACTTTGTCAGTTGCTTTTAGGCCTGTAGAGTGAGTATTCCTGTTTTTTTTTAAACAGTTAGTGTTGCTTCTCCGGTTAATCCTCATTGTAACCTTAACCAGTACTAGGTGAAAGGCGCATCAAATAGTAGCCCACCAGAAGACGGTGTCTATTTCACTTCCTGTTGTGTGTTGTTAGCCAGTTTCAGATTTCAGCCTGTTGAAATCAATTTCTCATTGTAATTAGTCCCAAATGAATCCAGTTGTACTATAAGACAGTGATGGAGTTCTAAAATTCTTAAAAATGGGATAACTTAAATCACATTTTGACTAAGGCACTATTTCAGAAGACTGTCTGTCCTTTAACTAAACAAATTAGTCATGGTTCTTGCTGCGAAACTACCTTTGACCTATTTGTCTCCAGGCCGAATTGATACAGACAGTATAACTTTTTAACTTTGAACATTGAAAAATCTCATATTCATATATTCAGTCTGAATGACCGTGATTAATATACTTTTGTCCCTCAATGCTAAAGACATGTGAGAGTCAAACTCAATGTCCTTTTCTCGTGAACTTTTTCTCCATTAAGTACTGCAAATCTCTGTTTTAATACCTGTACTTCATTGGCAGAATTGTATTTTAAATCATCCTGGCTGATATGTTAGTATATATTAATTTAATATTTATTTTAATATTAACCTAACATAAATGTTGTATTATTAGCCTTTATTTTAATGATTGACACTGGTCTGAACAGGCCATATTTCCAACTGTACGTTCATAGGTTTATTCTATTTTTAAGGTTTTATTTGAACTGTTTTAATGTAACAATTATTGACCATAACTATATTGGTGCATCCATATTCTCTTTCTTTACACAATCAATACTTACACTTCAGTGTGCTGTCATATCTTCATTTTCATTTCACTTTTTTTCTCCTGTTCTTTGTTTTAAACAGACACAGCATCTATATCTACATTATGTAGCTGTATTTCACCCAGTTTAGATATTAATCATCGTTAAAAAGGTGCTTTAAAGCCTCAGAATAAAAGTACACAGATTTACTATCCACATCTGATGAGATATAATGCAAATGCATGGAATGGACTAGGTGTTTATAATATGTCAACAAAACCCTTGTCCTCTCCAGTATTAATTTCTAATTCAAATGTAATATCCTGTTCCAGTTCCAACTCTATGCACACAATTATCAGAAAGTAATTTATATAAGGTTGTACTGTAGCAGACAAGCAAATTAGGAAAAAGCTCATTACTCTTCCTAAATTCGTCAACTATGTTGTTTTTCCTTTAGTCTGCATTGTGTGCACAGTGTAAAAATCATACCCAGTCCTGTTTTATCTCACTGTTAGTCTTAAAATGCAGTTTTTGCATTGTTTACATCTTAACTCTGGGTTGAATAGGTCAACATGTGACCCAGCTTCAGTGTTGATCTAATGAATTTGTATTAGCATTTATTCAGATTGGAGACACTGCATAACTTCATCTTCTCCAGCAAAAATGAAAGCACTGCTAAACATAAATTTAGATCCTGTCTAC